GCTCAGTAAAATAAGCACTTGCCTGGTATGCACATGGTCCTAAATTCAATCCCTGGTACTGGAAAAAAAAAAAAAAAAAGCTCTGGGTTCAATCCCCAGCACTGGTGGTGGTGGTGGTAGAAGCAGTATAGTATAATTATTACTAAGTTTTGGAGTCGAGATGTGAATTCACATCCAGGCCTTCTCTTTACTTTATGACCTGAACAATTTAACCTAAGGACTATTTTTTTTTATTGATTCAGAGTTAATGAGAAAGTAACAACTTTACTAGTAGGATTTCACTAGCATTAAGTGAGATGAGGTTTAATAAATTGAACAACTCTGAGTGGCCAAGGCAGGACAGTCATGAGTTGTAGCCCAAGCACAGAGCCCCTTTATATAGGGTCATGAAGACAATGAATAGTGCCAGGAGAACAGTGAAGCCAGAGCAGGCAGGACAGGACCTGGACTTCATCAGAGGAGGAGAGAAGAGCAGTTTCTCCTATGATATGGAACATTTGCTGGTCCTAAAAGTATTTGTTAGCGTTTCTGATGACCTTTTCTAGCTCAGGGGCCAAGAAGACAAGTGGCAGAGGAAAGGCCCTGTGGGACGCCGCTGCCTCTTCCCTTGCCCTGTTGGGAAGTGGCTGAAGCCAGCCCTTCTCATGGTTGTGAATCCTTGCTGCTCTCATCTGCACAGTGCTCCCCTGAATACGGCAGCCAGGCTTCTATGAGGCCCAGAATGGTGCCACGGCGAAGGGCATAGCATGGGAGGGAGTGTTAAGGAAATGCAATGGAAGAGAGTGCTCAGGCCCACAGCCTGGCAGCTTGGGCTCCAGCCCACACCTGGGGCTGGGGTGTGACTCCTTTTGCAACCATGAGACCTGGGTGTGGGTGTGCACCTGCCTCTCCTCCCTGCCCAAGCCCAGCGCAGGGACACAGGCACAGTGTGGACAGAGAAGTTCCCTCAGGACATGGCCTATGATTCTTCTGAGCGGCAGATGATGGCATTACTTGTTTTCTTTTTGTCTGTACTTTGCAGTTATTGAACAGTTAATAGGTATTAACTATAGTAACAGGAGTAAGTGAAACACGTTTTTTCAAAAACCTGCTATTCTGGGTGGGGCATTGTGGCACATACGAAGCACTCGGATTCTGAGACAGGAGGATTGCAAAGAGTTCCAGGCTGCCCTTCTCCACCCCCTCAACAGAGAAAGAAAGAGAATATGTGTGTCTGTCTCTGTCTGTATCTCTTTCTCACACACACAAAGCTGTTATTCCGTAAGATGGCCATTTCCTCTACAGTTTCACTTTAAAAAATTCAGTTACCAAAATCAAAATGTTTTTAACTTTTACTTTATTGCATAGGAATAGTTGAGTTTAACTAAATTAGTTAACTGATTTCCACATTTCTTTTTTTTTGTCTTTGAGACGGCGTCTCACTGTATAGTTCAGGCTGGCCTTGAGCTCACTTTGTAGCTCAGGCTAGTCTCAAACTCACAAGGATCCTCTCCCGAGTGCTGGAATTACAGGAGTGTACCACCACCCCTGGCATGATTTCCACATTTCTCTGGGCCTTTATGTGGCTATCACAGCTTCACCTTTAGAAAGTTGCCCAGGCTCTGGGTTTTGCTTTGTTTTTTAATCTCTAAAATCAGCTGATGGAATACTTTTTTTTTTTTTTTTTTGGCAGAACTGGGGATTGAACTCAGGCCCTTATGCTTGCCAGGGAAGCGCTTACTCCACTGAGTCATCTCCCCAGCCTCTTTTTCTTTTCTTCTTCTTTTTTTTTTTTTTTCTTTGCAGAACTGGGGATTGAACTCAGGCCTTTGCACTTGCCAGGGAAGCGCTTATTCCACTGAGCCATTTCCCCAGCCCCAGCTGGTGGAATACTGAACCACATCAGTACCTGTTACTAGCAAGCATTTTTCTAATTAAAAAAATGGTTTTGGATATAGCTCAGTGCAAAGACCCTAGGTTAAATGCCCAGAACCCATTACCCACCCCCCCAAAAAAAAGAAAATTCAATAAATACTTGTCAATCAAATATGAAGTTATTTTAAAATGCAAGGCCAGTGAGATAGCTCAGGAGACTAAGTGCCTGCTGTGGCAAGTGCAGGAACCAGGGTTTGATCCCCTGTCCCTCATTCCCCACCAGCCCTACCCCCGGGGCAGAATGAGCTGCTGTCCGAGTCTGGGTGCTGTTGCACAGTCCAAGCTGCATAGTGAGACCCTGTACCAAATGCATAAAATGAAAAAAACCCAAAATATATCTAAAAATACAGATATTGAGGCCCTGAATCCAGGAATTCTGAGTTGTTAAGTCTGAGGGGATGGGAGGAAAATCTGTATCTTTAAAAAGCTTAGGAGGAGGGGTTCTATGTAATTATTAGGAACAGTTTTATGATTAAGAATGAAATCAAGTTATCTCAGGTCTTGCTTAGAACCCAGGCCCAGCACATGACTTAAGGAGACTTTCAAGTCTGTGCTGTTAGCTATTCAGTCTCAAAACTTGTGATGCAATATTCATATGATGATTGACCTTCTCTGGGAATTCTAATTTTAACTGCTATGTCCTGAGCAACCTTGAGCTGTGTGACATTGAGATTATATTAGAAATACAGGTCTGATGAAAGCAATAAAGTATAGATGTTGTCCTAAGTACTTCTAGATAGAGAATGTAGATATTATTTCATATTAGTTTGTTTTAAAAAAACATTATATATGTGGCATATATTGCCATAATACCTGGGTGGGTACTGGTAGCTTTGAGAAGTGGAAGGAAATAATTTTTTTTTTTTTTTTTTTTTTTTCCTGAACCGGGGATTGAACTCAGGCCCTTGCGCTTGCCAGGGAAGCACTTATTCCACTGAGCCATCACCTCAGCCCCAGGAAATAATATTATAATGTGTTTTTTAAGGGCCAGCCAGATAGCTCAATGGACTAAAGCACCTGCTTAGGCAGAATGCAGTGGCCAGGATTTGATCTCTGGCTGGCGGCCCCACCCCCAGGACATGCTGAGACTTTGATTGAGACTGGGCGTGGTGGCACATGCCTGTTAATCTCAGTGCTTGGGAGGCTGGAAACAGAAGAATCACTACGAGTCCAGTATACATAGTAAGAACCTGTAGACCCTGTCCTAAATACATAAAGAAAAACATTATAATGTGGTTTTTATATACTTGAAACAATGTGAAACTTCTAAAATTAGGAGAGTCAAAAATATACAGTACTGTGGGAGGCTGAGGCAGGAAGATCACAAGTTGGAGCCCAACCTGGGCAACTTAGTAACCTAACAAGATCCTGTCTCAAAATTTTAAAAAATAAGTAAAGGCTGAGATACAGCTTAGTGTGAAAGCCCCGGATTTAATCAGTACAAAACACCACATACATTTTTTTCCACCTGTTATTTGAGTTGGTCTTTTTTCTTTCTTTTTTTTTTTTTCTTTTTTGTATGTGGGATCAAGCCAAGGGCTCAGCAGGTGCTGTACTGCTGAGCTACATTCCCAGCCCCATTCAGGTTGGTCTTAAACTGACTAGGTAGCCCAGGATGGTTTCCAACTCACTGAATTCTTCCTGCCTTGGCCTCCCCAGTGCTAGGATTACAGGCATGAGCCACCATGCCAGCCCTTGAACTCTCAAAATTGTTGTGCTATGTTTTTTTGTACACACACCAAAAAATGTCGTATAGATTCCAACTGAAATATCCTGTTTTTATTCTTTCTTTTGATAGAAATTACGCTCGGTTTCGACAGAAACCTCTGCAAAGATACAGCCTTACTCAGTGGGTGGAGAGGAACAAGCGCAGCCACCATCGGTTCCAGCGCCTTCCAGATTTCTCATACAGTCCCTTTGTTTCATCCCATCAGCAGTGAAGATCCTTGTCTAGCATCCTGTCCAGAGTAGTATCTCCTTTTCTTCTG